TTCAATAAGCAAGTTCCCCAACATGATAGAATACCACTATAGGCTTAGAGACCAACATAAGATTCAGTATGCAATCGAGGTAAATCTACTATCATAGGACAGACTGCCAAAGTCTTCAATAAAAGCGTGGAAACAGTATGTATGAAAGGCCCGTAATTGCTGAGCCGACTAAAGAAGCTAATTCACTTTGACAGTAAACGTTATGAGTGGATGGTTAGACTACGCCCAGGGCTACTACTCAGCTGTATTGGCAACCATACGTAGGTGAATCTTAAGCAGAAGACAAGCCATTTCATCTTTGTCTAGAATAGTGAACGGGCAGGTTATGGAGAGCAAACACGAAAGTGAACATTTAAACTATTTTATTCTATAGTCAATCCTGATTATCTATAGAATAGGATATACAGGGGATACATATAAGAGACAAAAGCAACTCATTAAGTATAGAATCTGAAGGGAAACATAAAAATAAATTATATACAAATATAAAACATATAAAGGTGCCCCTGGACAATTAGCCTCATTATGAATGCTGGCAAATTGACCCAGCTAGTTTAAAAGAGGCCTAAAACTAGGTAGTGAGAAAATCTCATTTTGAGTTGAGAAAAAGTCCTATTTAAGCCCTTTATTATGAATCAGACAGTCAAATATTGTAAAAGCATAAGCAAATAAAATTAATTCAATATAATGAGTAAGATAAGTATATGTAACCAAATTTTATAACGGTTTCTCAATTAATACTGGCTGCACTAGGAATCAGTAAAGTACTAAGAAATCAAGATTGCAAAGTAAAATGAATATATATTTAGTTGTTAATCGCTTGATTTACGTTATAGCTTATAAGGTCAGTAACAGCAAGATGATAGATCCTAACCAGTTAGGATCATAAAATCAACCTTGATTCGAGAGATAACATACATGAAGATCAGTCGGTAGCTCACTGATCTCAAGTCTTAATTGATTCTGGTCAGCAGGACACTATCTTTGGAAAAAATTTCATCAGAAAATAATTATGTTTACAAGACCATACTATGTATATTACAAATATTATATTAAATGATAAAAATAATTTCATTGTGTCAAGAATCACTTAGAGACATCTAAGAACTTGCTCGATAGACTAATGAAAAACTCAACATTAAAAAAGCACGAAGATAAGAAAGACTAATGACATGATATTAATTCTCGAAAGGCAAAACACATATAGAACTAAGAAAATGTTTGGAAATCCGAGAAAAACTGGGGTGCAAAGACATGGGAGTCTTAAAAGGTCAGTTTTTATAGTTTCCATCATAAATAGTAAATAATAGAGATACAATAAGGAAATGAAAATGAGGCCAAGACAAATTATACCAACCCTAAAACTATCATTTAAGATATACTTTAAAATCTGGTTTCTGTAGTTTTAAACTCGGCTTTACTATTGTATTAAAGTTACTTGTGACTGAGCCACCTATAAAGTTGAAATCCGACCTAGATTGATGCATATGAAATGGCTCAAAGTATTTAGAATAAATCGAAAACAAATATTTTAGTTATACTTTAAAGTAGTATATTCATGTGTTAGGTCAGGTAGTAAGCGAAAAAGTACAAACTATTATAATAAGCAACAAGATATGTAGCAGAAATGAAACAAATGGACTCTAATGGAAATAAAGCGCAGATAAAATAGTAGATTAAAATATTTTATGGCAAAGGATGAAAAATACAAAAGCATAAATGGCAGAGATTGGAGCAATTATTACCATTCGTCGAGAGAAGATGGTTTGAGGGGTTTAATTTTGTCAGCCAAGTAATCGAATTGATCTTCTCTTCAATCTCCAGAGATTTTAGGTAATCAAATTCTGATTCATGGCTCGTAAAAGAGCAATAAATATCGTATATTTTCCGCAGCTAAGAACCATAAAGAAGCTGAAAATTACCTTCGCATTACACCTAAACACAACAATATGCCCCCCTTTGTCCCCAGCAGCTAAAAACTCTCCTGTTTGATCGAAGCTAATGCATGTAAAGGGGTCGACTGAGATAAAAATAAATGATTTGCAAACCTGTATATTCGTTCAGGTTGGATCCCTTTTGAACAACATCCCACTTGGTGGACTCTGAGTGGTGATAGAAAAGAAAATATAAATAAATAAATCATATTTTATAGGGTTTTGCAATATAGTATTAGGATAAAGAACCCACCCAGAGGGGTCCTGTGCATAATTTATAGAAAATTAGCCTTTAAAAGCATCCAAAGCACGCGGCAATCAGCTGATTCTAATCAGCAACTACTACAAAATAATTTAACTTGATACTACTAAGAGATTTATTTGCATTTCACCAAAAATATTTTTATAAATAGAAAAAAATTAAAGATTAAATTTTTAATTTTTATATAAATGAACCATTATATGAAGATCGGGGCATCACATTTAATTGCTTATAGGGTTGGTTCGACCTCATTTTCGCAAATTTGCCGGAGCTTCAGTATGACCTCGTGGAACGTACCTAGTCCTGTGCCCTCTGTCATATAATTCGTGATTTCCAGTATCGGACCAATGACTTGGTACATTAAAATATGTATGTTTGCCCTAATTTAATCAATAACTTTAATATTTAAGGAGTTATAATACATTCTATAGCCTTTGGCATCTCATTTTAACATTGGTTTTCAATAAACCTATGTATATACATATAACTATGTATATAGGATTATGTAAACATAATCGTATTGAATAGCAGAGCTGTGTACAACGAATCTTTTCTTCGTGATCTAAAAAATAATGATATAAGATGGTATATAATGGATAAAATTGATATTATTAATAGCGAAAAAATGTATACAGTGAACCTAAATTAACTTACAACATTAAAAAAAATTGTTAGTTTACAAATTATAGATGGAAAATGTACTCTCTTTGACAGGTTAATTGAAAATCTTG